TTTCAAAAGATTCCTTTCATATCTCATCATGGAATTTTTTAGCCGTCTGGATCCGAGCACTCCTACGCACTGCAGAATCTGGGTATATCTTCCGCTTCCATTTGCGTTTAGGGTTGATCTTACTCTCCAGCTAGTCCTCACAACCAGGCTCAGAAGCACTAACCACAACATTCTCCACACCCTCATCCTCCTCCTCAGGCTCAGGAAGAGGAGGAGCAAGATCTGCACAAAAATTATCGAGCACCCTAACCCCCAAAGCATCAATATCAGAATCATTCATGGGTTTAACCGCCGCTAAGTTGCGAATCAGCTCTAAGGCCCGCTCTGCCTCTAAGTCCAGCATATCATTAACAGAAGTTGAAATTTCACTATCATTACTACCTAGTGAAATTCCTATCTGGTTTGCATTATTAATAATCTCATCATTAGAGAAATGCAAAATAAAATTTGAAACAATGACCGACATACCAGGAGTGACCTCAACGTCACGAAGCTTGGCCGCCCTCACGGCGCACCGCTGCTGAATGTCGTCCACCTCCGGATGATCCTGGAGACGGCTGCTGAGCCGTCACCCCTCCGAGACCGGGTCCGGAATACCACCGAACGCAATCACCTCCCCTTGAGTGGCCCTGCTCGTTGTGAGGCCTCCTGCCTCACCCCGAACACGCATCGGGTTGTCCTCCATCGACGATCCAGCTGGACCACCAGAAAGCGAAGGGGCGCTCAACGACACTGGCGAGATCTGTCGCGCCCCACCATAGAGAGACTACGCCAAACCGGGAGATGGCGGATCCTGGGCCACCTGCCCGAGCTCCCCATCCACCCCAGTCCTCCGGCCATCAGGAGACACCGGCGCCCCAAGAAGGTTGTCCTCCCTAGGCACCCCAAGACGATGGGCCCCCGAGGCCACCTGCCCCGATCCCCCTCCGGAAAGCTGAACCGCCGCCTGTATCGCCGGCCTGGCTATAGGAGAGGAAGGTGCCGAGGCCACCTGCCCCGGACCCCCTCCCAAAGAAGCAATCTCCACCACCGAGACCTCATCCATCACGCACTCTAACTGAGGATCATGAACGAGCATGTGGGAGGGGACCTCCTCCTCCTCACACTTGACTGGAAGTGGCAAAACCTCCAGAACTGGACTCACAGCATCCTCAAAAGCCAGAACAGGTAGTATGTGCTCAAACACCTCATCAGACTCCACCCGCTCACTCCAGAGCCTCGGAGGTGCAGAAGCAGGCTCGAAAGACCCGAATCTGAGAGTAGTCGTAGGCACCGAAGAGGGTGGTGCCATCCCATCCCCTGACGTCTGAGAAACAACTCCCGGTGCAGTGGACGACTCTCGTCCAGTATCATCAACCGGTGCCTCCTTAAGCCCCGAGCTGTCATCTCCCTCGTGCATATCAGTATCAGTCCCGTTAGCCGCCTCGGCGAACAGACTCTCATCCTCAAACTCAATCGTGATGTTATAGACCTGTCCTCGATATGCCCACTTAACCACCTCAGGCACGTACTCAATGTCTAGAACGCTGACCAACAGTCAGGCTATCCCGTGAGCTCTTGTGAAATCCATATCCACTCGCTCCGGTCTCCCCACCAAAATACCCAAACTATCCACAACCCGAGCATCCTGCATGGGCTTTGAGGGGGATCTAGAAAAATGCAGCCAAACCTGAGTCAGAGGCTTACCCTGAGGCTCGACTCTCTTCCACTCATGGAACTCAAGCACACCATCAGTACCCGGTACTTTGCACATCCCAAAACTCAGAAGTCTCTGAAGATCCTCCACTGAATGGAACTCAACCCTAAACAATTTTTCCTCAAGATTAACAAGCTCCCACTGGAAGTCACCTGGAGCTAACTCCTTCAGCCTCTGCACAATTTGTGTCTCAGAGACCTCTCATCTGGTAACTTTTACTATCCCAGTAGTCAAACTCAGGGTCTCGTCAGGAGCCTCTCTCTCAGTAGGAGACTCAAAGAACGTTAGTTCAGCACAGTACACTCCATACATCATGAGGGACGGTGCCTGATCTCGCAGAAACGGACAATCCCCCATATCATGTGCCGGTTTGCCACAAGTGCCACAAAGCTCAGCCACACACTCAGCAATGAAATGACCCTTGCCTCTGCATCGGTAGCACAACATTTTCTCTTTCTTACGCGCCCATTTGGACGCCATCACGGGTATCTCAGCATTAGCTAACGCCGACACCACCTCCAAAGCTTGACCTAACAACACCGTCTCCTCCATAGACCCATCAACGGCCATCTGATCAACAACAGACGGGGGAGGTTGTCGTGGTCGGTACTGGCCACCTTGACCGCCTCGACCACCACGATGATCGCGGAAACCTCCTCGCTGTCTATATCCCGGGCCAGAAGCCCCCTCAACAAAACCACCCTGGGGACCCAAGAACGGTCTCTCCGCCGAGCCATCGCTCTGCCAAGCGTAACCTCGACCACCGCCCGTCGACGACGAACCACGGTGCTGACCCACCCCATAGGCGTTGAATCCATCATCTTCCCATTGAACCCGGGGCGCGGCATTAGTCCCTCCAACGCCGGAAACTTGCGGATGAGGAGACACCTGCTTCTGCATAGCCCCAGTCGGAGGCTTGGCGACAAGGTGAGGCGGCGGTGCCGGTCTAGCCTGTTGACCAACCGACCCCGGCAACCCCGTCGCCGGCGACCTGAGCGCCGCGCTGCCCCGACCTGCGGCAACACTAGCCAATCCAGGCGTTGGCGGACGTGGTCCCGCACTCAGCCCGCCACGCCCGTCAACCTGCACCGAAGCCGATCCAGGTACCGGCGTGCGGGCGCCAGGCAGCAACGTGGCACCACGGCCCGCGGCCGCACCGGTCAGCGCGACACCCCGACCCGCAGCCGGTATCACCGTGGGCGCCACGCCACGGCCAGCCCCAGGGTTATGCTGCATCACGGCACCACGGCCGGACCCAGAGGCCAGCAACGGCACCACAACACGGCCACCGCTGTTCAAGAATTCATCCGATTAACCAGTTAACTTGCGGATTAATCCCTACTCATAGGGTCACCGAGTAGCCGATAAACCAAAAAAATCATTCGATTAATTAATTAAATGGCCGATTAACTTGTCGATTAGCCGATTAATCCCCTACTCGCTAGCCAACCGAGCAGCTACCAGTTAACGATTTCCTCAACAATGACGGCCACCACCAGTGCCCGACGGCGGCGCGACCCCGGCGCGACCAGTCACAGGAGGCGCGGCCGGCCTTTTCATTTAAGCCTTTTTTCATACATGGTTGCATATTGAGGTGGACTTTTTTCATACTCCCTCCGTTCCAAATTACTCGTCGCAGAAAATAGATGTATCTAGAACTAAAATACATCTAGATACATCCAAACTTGCGACAAGTAATTCAGAACGGAGGGAGTACCATGGTTGCATGTTTTGTTTTTTGCAAGAACATACATGGTTGCATGTTGAGATGGCATAGTTGCATGTTGAGATGGCATAGTTGCGTGTTGAAATAAATAGTTTAGTGGAGATCAACTGCTTAGTTCTATAGATTGTGTGTATAAATTTGCAAGACACACAACCTTCAGCGATGATCACGAACTAGACAGGAGCGTCCTGATTTGCAGTGTAATTTCTGTGGCTTGTAGCAGTGAAGCATACGGTACATGCAGTTGGGTATACCAATGCTTCTTCCGGAATCTTTTGCTGTGGAGGAGGGACACACGAATCAGCGAATGTTCGTTGCGCCTTTGTGACTATCGATCGCTCGGAGGAGCGTATACGGCCCAATCAATGGCGATGCAAGCGATGGTAGAGCCGTAGAGGAACAAGATAAATTCATTTACGTATAGTAAAAAGCGTTTCCTCTCACCATCATCTATTCTCACAACGACCAGTGGCGCTGTACATACGGAGTTTTCCCTACGGATACTGTACATGGGTGGAGTATCCTCCCGGTATGGACGTATGGTCCATGGCTTGAAAAGGTGCGGATGTCCTGCAAGTTTTCTTGGGCTGCCCGGTCGAATTTGAAAGCCCAGCCGCAGCCTGCGCGGTACCAGTTGGCTGGCCGGTGTCAGTGGTGTTAGCCCTGATGGGTTCACCAACCGCCAACCCCTGCGCTTTAATGCGCGCATCAATTCACTCGTCACTCTCCCTCACGCGCCCCGCAGCCGCAGCTCAGCTGCCTCCCCCACTGCTCGCTTACCGCTCCTAGAAGAAAGCTTTTACCACCACCGCCCTCCGCTCCATTGCCCATTGCTCTTTCTCTCTCTCTCTCTCTCCTAATCCTAGCTCCTGGCTCCATCTTGGCGCCGGCGAGGAGAGACATACTCGGATGGCGGCGGCGCGGTCGGCATTGGCGTCTGCCGGCCGTGCGGCGAACGAGGCCGTCAGCTTCGTGGTGTTCATGCTGCTGGACGCGCTGGAGCTGCTGCTCTGCCTTCTCTACAAGGTCGCCGACTACGTGGCCGAGGGCGCGTGGCGGCCGTGCTACTGCTCGTCCTCGGCCGTGGCCGCGCCGGGGAAGATCGTCGTGGCGGAGCGCGGCGGCTCCAAGGTGGTCAGCATGCTCTCCTCCACCAAGCTGCTCCTGGAGGACGTCTCCGACACGCTGTACACGCGCCCGTCCCTGCTCGCCGGCGCCGCCGGGTCGTCGTCGCCGCCGTCCTTCTCCCGGCGCCGGGAGAAGGCCAGGCCGTCGGCGTCGGCCACCACGCTCACCGTGCACTCGGCCATCGTGCAGATCCTGCGGGGCAAGGCCGCCGGCGCCGGCGACGACGAGCACAAGCCGTACCCCTCGCCGCGTTGGTCCGACTGCCACTGCGCCAACTGCAACCCCGCCGACGCCGACCGCCTCTTCGTCCACGTCGAGGGACCCCACGGTACGTGCCCGCCCATACATGCATCGATCGATCATATCCCAAGCTCCATTAATACGGCGGCAGGATTTGCTTCCCTCACCGTCACCCACACCGCTTATGCTCACGCGCGTATGGTGTCTGTCATGTCCATTAAAGACGGCGGCGACACGGAGGAGGACGTGCTGTTCATCCACGGGTTCATATCGTCGTCCGGGTTCTGGACGGAGACGGTGCTGCCGCACGTGAGCCGGGAGGCGCGGGCGCGGCGGCGGCTGTTCGCGGTGGACCTCCTCGGGTTCGGGCGCAGCCCCAAGCCGGCGGACTCGCTGTACACGCTCCGGGAGCACGTGGAGATGATCGAGCGCTCCGTCATCGAGCGGTACAAGGTCGGGGCGTTCCACATCGTCGCGCACTCGCTCGGCTCCATCCTCGCGCTCGCGCTCGCCGTCAAGTACCCCGCCGCCGTCAGGTCCATCACCCTCGTCGCGCCGGTACGCAACGCCTATCTCAGCGCGCGTACTTGACGTTTCTGCATGCGTCGCTAAGCTAACATCTTGGCTTGGCTTGGGTTGCAGCCGTACTTCCCGGTGCCCAAGGGGGAGATGGGGACGCAGTACGTGCTGCGGGCGGTGGCGCCCCGGCGGGTGTGGCCGGCGATAGCGTTCGGCGCGTCGGTGGCGTGCTGGTACGAGCACCTCGGCCGCACCGTCAGCATCGTGCTCTGCAAGCACCACCGCCTCTGGGAGCTCGCCTTCCGCGTCTTCACCTTGTACAGGTACTACCGTAAAAAAACATTTCTTCCGGATCGGGGCGGTGAGAATTTGCTCAACGACATTTCTTCTTCTTCCTCCTCCCATGGGGATTGGGTGGTTGCGTTGACCAATGGAGTTTAAGCAAGCTCGTCGAGGAATCCGCCATCAATGGGAGCTATAGCTCCCGATCGAGGCGATGCAGAGGTGGACGCGAGTGGGAGCATTTATGGGTGCCGGCGGTCGGGTCCGCCGGCTGCATCGTCGCTGCATCCTGATGTGACTGGCCGATGGGCGATGAGACGAGTTAATAGGGGACATATGAACTGAGTTTGACCCCGGTCAAATGTTACTTGGTGTGACGACATGCGAGGCCATCTACTGTTTCAATGCTGATTGCGCATAGGTGGACCACCTGCTCACCCGACTGGATTGGCCAATTTTTCAGTCATAACCAAAATTTGGTCTGGCTTGGGCAATTTTTTCTTGCACAGCATTTTTTGTGCGTGAATATTTTCTTGCACAACATTGCCAAAACATGGGCAACCAAAACCTTTGCCGATATTTCTTTGCCTAGCCAAATTTTGATAGGAATAGGATTGGTTTGGGCTCAAACCAGACACCCGTAGTGTCCCTCGCCACAAAGTGGGCGGTGGGAGATGGTAGCAACAATGGAAAGCTGCGTGAGGCAAGGAAGGTGGCTTCTCGCTGGTGGTTGTCTAGACGAGGCGCTGTGTCGGTAATGCTAACAAATTGAGCACTTTCTCTGGATGGGAATATAATCAGGCATGGGATTTTAGGTTGTCAATTTAATGAGCAAAACACGTGTAATATGCCACAAGAAGATATATATAGACATGTTTCGCTAATTAGATTGAAGACCTAAAATCACGTGTTCAAATTATATTCCCGTCTGGAGGGAGTAAGGCAATAGCGGCGCAGAGATCTCCGACGTGATTGAGCGTAGTGCGGTGCAATAAGGGGTTGGGGCGGGAGGGGTGACCGGCGAGTGTGGATTGAAGTCAGTGGATAGATAGCTAAAGAGTTACATATTTCTCATGCCTAAATATTTATGAGTTTTGCAACCAATATTTATTTTGAAAATCTCAGTTGAAGAGACCAGAACATGAAAGAGATCTTAATTTATGTGTTGGTGTTGATTGTGTGCTTTCTAGTCGTGCAGAGACCGGGTGTACACTTATTATTGATACATTTTGAGATAATAAAAGAGTCATTTGCGGGGAAAATGAAAGAAATGAAAAACAAGAAAGAAAACAGTTATAGACCTGAAAAGCACGACCTGATCTGATCTAGTGAATATTTTCAGCCTACTCATGTCTCAATTTTCTCGTCTCAAAATATTAACAGAGTTATGTGCACGTTTTGGCAAACAACCATCATCACACTGACGCTTCAACTTGCTGCTGCAGGGTGAGGACTTACCTGATGGACGGCTTCTTCTGCCACACCCACATCGCCTCGTGGCACACCCTCCACAACATCATCTGCGGCAGCGCCGGCAAGATCGACAAGTGCCTCGAGGCCGTCCGGGACCAGCTCACCTGCGGCGTCACCATCTACCACGGCGGCGACGACGAGCTCCTCCCCGTGGGCTGCAGCTACGCGGTGCAGTCCAAGATCCCGCGCGCCAACGTCAAGGTGATCGACGGCAAGGACCACGTCACCATCGTCGTCCAGCGCCAGAGGGAGCTCGCCAGGGAGCTGGAGGAGATCTGGGACACCAAACGGTGAGCCTCAGGCCATGGACCGGTGCAATGCATAGGGTGAAGAACGGGAGCGGCCGGGGAAGAATTGGGGTGGCAGCTCGGGTTTAGCAGAATGCATGTGTCTTCGAAGAAGAACAAGGGCTGCAGGTCTGCGGCGGGCAACCACATTTCTGGGTGCGGCGGGAGGCACAAGTGCCAGGCAATGTCTCGAGAGTAAAATGTGAAGAAGATTACCTTGATTAGTTTTTCTTTTCCTTCTCAAGCTTTCATATTGAAGGCTGGGAACGATTATTTGGCTGCTCCTCTGTATAGTTGTGATAAGTGCACGATGAATCTCATTTCGGTTGTAACCCAGTGGACAAAGTCACACAGCGTCACATGATCAGTTCGTGGACAGAGTCACGCACGTCGTCACAGCAACTCCAATAGGGCCACCCATTTCGTCCGCTGGCGTCCGTTTGGGTCGACGCGGACAGAAAAAGCAGCACAACGCGCCGACCCAAACGGACGTGCGTCCGCATGGCGATCCATTCCCGACCTAATTTTGAGCCGGATTTGCGTCGGTGCGAACACGAGACGGACGCACGCGCGCGCGCCTACTCCTCTTCCTGGGCCCGCCGGTCGGTGGCAGCCACCACCATTTCCCCCATTTCTCCCAAAAACCCTCCCGCTCGCGCGCTCCCACCTCACACCCGCCATGGACGACGCCATCGACCTCGACGCCATCGACCTCGACGCCATTGCCGGCCTCGCCTCCCTCGCCTCGTCCGGCGCAGCCGCCCCCTTCGGGAAAGGCAAGCCTCATGCCCCGCACAAGGCCGCCGCCATGGCCAAGCCAAAGAAGCCGTTGACGCCCGCACAACGGGGAAGGGAATCGGCCAAGAGTAAGGACCGGAGGTATGCCGCGGACGTGAGGGATGAGGCCATCGGGCAGGCCGCCGCCGCCGCGTAGCAGGAGGTCACCAACACTCGCGTCGCGGCGACAATGAGGGAGGCGCTCTACATGCTAGGGTTAAACCCTGGCCAGCACGGCCTCGTCAACGCCGCCGTCACCGCGGCCAGCACCGGCTCATCGGCGTTTCCTTGGATGATGCTGCCCGACTCGCCCCGCGTGTCGGCTTGCAACCCGATGCCTGGCTTCCACGTGTACCCACAGGCCTCCCGCCTCTTCAGGGAGTGCTCGCCCGACGTGAGCGTGGTCGCGCCTTCCACGGCCGTGCCCGCGCCCATCGACCTCAGCGCCACCCCGGTGGCCGGTGGCTCGTCATCCGGCGGCGCGAGGAAACGCGCGTGGCAGACGTCGGTCGGCGTGCTCCCGGGCGTGCTCCCGGGCGCCTGCAACCTGTTCGAGGGAATGTCGTCCGCCGTCGACGAGGACTACATGCATAACCTTATCTTCGAGGGAGGTGCGTCGGCCGCTGGCTATAATCCCGACGAGACACAAAGCCAGGACGGCCGCGGGGCGTTCATGCAGGCCGCTGGCTATGATCCCGACCAGGTGGCCTTCATGCGTGATCAGGTCGGCATCGACCTGGACGGCTTCCCACTCGACCACGAGTTCCCGGACGGCTACGGGCTAGAGGAAGAGGACGAGTGCGACATCGAAGTGGAGCCTTTGTTCGAGGACGAGCTCGCCAACCAAGCCACCGGTCCTAAACCGAAGCGCAAGAGCAAGCGCACGAAGGCATACATGGCTGCCGAGGACAAGCTTCTTTGCGAGTGATGGCGAGACATTGGACAAGACCCCAAGATGGGCGCCGAACAAAAGCATCCTACCTTTTGGATTCGTGTCCACCGAGAGTTTCATGAGCGCAAGAAGTTTCCGCCTTACCAATTTGTGAGCACGCGCGGGTGGGTGTCCATTTCCAAGTGATGAAGGGTGATCCAATAAGAGTGCAATAAGTTTTGCGCCACTCTTGAGAGCGTCAAGGCCCACCCCGTGAGCGGCATCGGCATGCAAGCCATGGTATGCTAGCAAGCTGCCCTCTTTTGTGTCATCAAGTTCATGCTTGCGTGTTCATTTGCATATCATTTACCCATATGCTTGCATGGAAACATTTTGTAGGCATTTCAAGCTTTGGAGGCATTCAAGGTTCAACACAATGGCAAGTGCTTCAACCCCTCCCATTGCTTTCGGGTCATCAAGGACGAGGAGAAGTTCAAGGCACAATTATAACACCCACGATGCGGTTATATCTCCCACGTGTTGGAGCACGACTTAGAGGCATAACCGCATAGTAGGCATGTCGCAAGAGGGGTAATCTTTACACATCCCATGTACTGAATAAGAAAGGGATAAAGAGTTGGCTTACAATCGCCACTTCACACAATACATGAATATATCATTACATCATCCAGAATACAATCAAGGTCCGACTACGAAACCAACATAAATAAAGACAACCCCAAATGCTAGATCCCCGATCGCCCCAACTGGGCTCCTCTACCGATCGTCTGGAAAGGAAACATAGTAACGTCCTGAATCCTCATCGAACTCCCACTTGAGTTCGGTAGCGTCCCCTACACTGGCATCATCGGCACCTGCATCTGGTTTTTGAAGTAATCTGTGAGTCACGGGGACTCAGCAATCTCACACCTCACGATCAAGACTATTTAAGCTTAAGGGTAGGAAAGGGGTAGTGAGGTGGAGCTGCAGCAAGCACTAGCATATATGGCGGCTAACTTACGCAAATGAGAGCGAGAAGAGGAGCAAAGCACGGTCGAGAAGCTATAAAGATCAAGAAGTGACCCTAAAACTACTTACGTTCAAGCATAACACGAGACCGTGTTCTCTTCCCGGACTCCGCCGAGAAGAGACCATCACGGCTACACACACGGTTGATTCATTTTAATTAAGTTAAGTGTCAGGTTTTCTACAATCGGATATTAACAAATTCCCATCTGCCCATAACCGCGGGCACGGCTTTCGAAAGTTCAAAACCCTGCATGGGTGTCCCAACTTAGCCCATCACAAGCTCTCACGGTCAATGAAGGATATTCCTTCTCCCAGGAAGACCCGATCAGACTCGGAATCTCGGTTACAAGACATCTCGATAATGGTAAAACAAGTCCAGCAAAACCGCCCGATATGCCGACAAATCCCGATAGGAGTCGCACGTATCTCGTTCTCAGGGCACACTGGATAGGTCAAGTTACGAGTAGAACCAACCCTCATGTTGCCTCGAGGTGGCCCCATAGGTTGCCCGTTTCAGA